GCAACATTATCCAACAAATGCCAGTTATGTCGCCGGCGCGGACTCTTATCCCATCTATGAAAATCCGTTTAGGGTATCTTCCAATGCTTCCGGCAGTATAATCAACAACAACCAAACAATGAATAATTTCGATAGTCGCTCAACCCTGTCCAGTGCAGATGTTCGCTCTGAGTCACCTATTTACAGTAACACAACTTTGGCCGTTTCAAACAATAATATTCAATCGTCTTATGATCTGACTGCTGGTAAAGCAGCTGCCGCCTCTGTACAATCTCTGTATCATGTACCGTCAAGACAGCTTCACGCGCAATCTGCCGGCAATACAAACAGTGCCCAGAACGTTTTACAAAAAGTGCCATCACAGCAGTCCCTGGAGGAAGAATTGCCACTACCGCCAGGCTGGGCGATGCAATACACTCTTCATGGACGAAAGTATTATATTGACCACCACACACATACAACCCACTGGTCCCACCCACTAGAAAGGGAAGGACTGCCAGTCGGTTGGCGACGTGTTGTCTCCAAGGTTCATGGTACCTATTATGAAAATCAATATACAGGGCAATGCCAGCGACAGCATCCCTGCCTTACCTCATATTATGTATATACTACATCAGCCGAGCCACCCAAGGCTATATGCCCTGAAATACCAGTTCCTTACACACCGCCAGTGCATACACACAACGCACTGGTACCAGCTAATCCGTATTTGTTAGAAGAGATACCCAAGTGGCTGGCGGTATATTCAAATGCTGATTCATCTAAAGACCATATGTTGCAATTTAACATGTTTAGTTTGCAAGAGCTTGAGTGCTTCGATGGTATGTTGGTGCGTCTGTTTAAACAAGAGCTTGGCACAATTGTAGGTTTCTACGAACGTTACAGGTAAGTGATGAAGTGATGAATTATGCGGTAACATATTGATTATTTTCATTTAGTTTTATATTTTTAATATTGTTTTCATTTTTGTTTTTCAATTTAATAGACGTGCTTTAATTTTGGAAAAAAATCGACGCGCCGAGCAGGAGCGCTATTTACAAGAGTTACATACACAAGCCACACACCAATAACACTCCATATGAACCGTTATATATTCTATTGGAAAATTGTGGGTGCTGTGTTATATTTCTATATATTTTTTCCCCTATTTAATACATGATGCTTACGAATATAAAGAACATCTTATATAATTAGACTGTCTTGTTCTAACGAACTGTGAACTGTTTTCGTACTATCAAATGTTATATAACTCTTAAGTAAAAGTTTTATGTTACTGATTTTAACTGATATATTATTTATGTTTAATATTTAAGTTATTTCGAACGTTTTTGTGATTGGTTTTATTCTTGCTCTTTTGATTTAAGTATATATTCACATTTTCTCATTTCAACTTATATGACTTTTTGCAGAAAAAAATATATATATTTGTGCATGTGTACATTAATATTTTCAAAGATTTGTTCTTTATTTTACCCATTTTAAAATAAGTATGTAACGTAATGTTTAACGACACATTCGAATCATTAAAAACTTCCAACTGCATTTGTGCTAATAGAAAATATATTTCTGTCTAGCATGTATTTTATGGTAACAGTCAACAGAAATGTCTAAAACCTTAATCGACTCTGGGAACTAGCGTACTTATGGATAACCCCACCCTCCTTCCGCCGCCTACGGGTACAGTCAATGGGGAAAATGATTAATGTACATTCATATCTTATCAAATGTATCTATTTTTATTTGGAGCACCGTAAATCGTCACGTTATGTAAGTTAATTTTTAGGATGAGTAAAGCTCGAGCAAGGCAAGCCTTCCTCCACCAGTTAAATAAAAAAAATAAATAAAAATAAAAAATAAAAACAATTTCAATGATAACATATCGCATATTTAATAATAGCCTTGGTCCACAAGCTACTCGAAGTCACTTCCGAGTTACACATACGCGTTCCACAAGTAAGTTTTTAAGTGGAGTTTCTTTGATATACGCTCACAGTTTGAACTTTGCTCGAGTTTTTTACAAATGGCTTGTGGAACAAACCTAATATAACGATCAGTTCTGTGGGAAAACGCAATCAAAGTTTTATCAACTCATACAGTTTGTATACCACAAGTAATTTTTAGCAAAAAAAACCGACTTCAACTCCCATATAAAAATAAATATATATATATATATATCTCACGATCCACTGATCGGATCTTAACCAGATTAGCATGGGACCACCTCTGAGACACTACCTTTCCGATGCAAAATTATCGAAATCGGTTGACGTGGTCCAAAGTTATGCGGTAACATACATAAAAAATAAAAAATAAAAACAAAATAAATAAAAAATAAAAAATAAATAAATTAAAAAATATTCGGACGAACTGATAACCTCCTCCTTTTTTGGAAGTCGGTTAAAAGCACAAATGGAAAGACGTACATACATACAGTTACTCCAAAAAATTGAGCGTGCGGATCTTTTTGTTAATTTTCGCAATGTTTTACATGTTAAAAATTGTTTGTTAATTTTTTATTAAAATATGGCTTATACTCCATTTAAATCCAAGAATGATACTGTGTACAAAATTAAGAAAAATTTTAGTATAATAATGTTCAAATTTCAAATCTCTAAAAAATCGCGTTGGTTTTTACTGACTGTCCGACGCATTTTCTCCATATAAAAAATTTTCAATTTTTTTTATATATAAAAAATTTTCAAAACCCAATGCGAATGTTTAGACATCTACCAAAATTTAATGGGCTACAAAACTGCATACCTGAATTCTTTTTAGAAATTGGTATTAAAAATTTCGCGATTTTGCTGAAACTTTGCAGATTTTTCTTAATTTTTGTACACAGTATCATTCTTGGATTTAAATGGGAGTTTGCTAAAATATAAGCCATATTTCAATACAAAACGAACAAAAAATTTTTAGCATGTAAAACATTGCAAATATTAACAAAAAAGAGCCCAAACCTATCATTGCAATCTTTACGAAAACGTTAGAGGGGAATTCGAAATCTTCCAATGTAACACTAACTTTGATGAAGTTTTTCAAAACTTCAACACTGACAAAATTGCTCAATTAGCGGAATTTTTACAAAAAATTTTAGCTTTTTAAATGTAAAGTTTTTTTCTGGTTTAATCGTGGTGTACATACCGTCCACCTACTAGCTATCCAATTACTACTGGGCAAACTACGGCCTGTGCAAACACACGAGTATATAAACTCGTATACAAACTTCTGGGACTTCACACGTATACGTCAACAATGCAACCCTGCTTCTGTGCTTATACTTAATAGGTTTGTTCGTCGAGCAAAAAATTTGTACGAATTTGTACGAATTATCACGATTTTTGCCCAAATCGCGTTCGTGCAGACCAAAAAATTATCCAACACTCAAAAATTGTGAGAGCAAAGTGACAGTTCTCTTGGAGAGAAGTTGCAAATTCTTGCTGGAAAAAATTTTGCCAGCAAGAATTTGCAAACACGAAAAACATGTGGTTGTGGCGCATGGTTGCATTTTTGTCTATAATAATTTGAATAAATTAGTTCGTTAAATTTAAAAATTTATAAACACTAGCGATTTTTTTATGAAAAAAGGAAGGAAAAAACTGTTGATATAATTAATTTAGTTAATTCCAATGATTTGAACTTAATTCGGCTGAAAAAAATGGTATTCGCAATCGGAATGTAATTGCAACCAGAGTCGATTTAAGAAACCCGACAGCTAGTACGATGAAGAAATTGAAATGTATGTTAAAGAAAGGCAGAACAACAAGAAATATACATGTATATTCTGTTTTTGGCCATCCGAAAGAATTTTAAAAATTCTATAAAAATATTTTATGTTTGAAATGCAACCGTGGACGCCAGCTGGCAGCGAAACTTGCTAATTCCTGCAAATTTGCGTTCGTGCAGAAATTTGCAAGTTTCTCAACATGAGAGAGAATTTGAGAGAATTTTTTCTTACTCTCTGATATTTTGAGTGTTGGATAAAAAAATCAAACAAATTTAGATATAGCTAATTTTGCTATTTTAAATATAGGGTTTTATGACAATCTGTTTTGCCGCGACACGAATCATTTTAAAAGCAACCGAATTGTACAAAAAGTATTCCGAAATGTATACAATGTTTTGTTTGCAAAGTTTACGCGATACTCAGTTGCTTTATTTTACAAAATATAGTGATGGTTTGGAACGCGGCCAAACTTCGAGTGCAACCTAACAGCGCCGCAACAAATACGCACTAAAAGCAGCAGTGCCAAAAGAACACCCGCAGCAACTCCAGCCATAAGAGAATTATGGACAGCGATTCAGGGGTACCTAACCATAGCGGCAAAACAGCAGAAAATATATTGCGCCGATGCCCATGGAAACCAAACGTAGGAGATGGTCATGCAACGAGAGCACCAATTCTCATTCGCATCCCCGAAAACTTCACACCGAAGTTGTCGCCGAAATTCTCAGGCCCATACGTAATTGACAATACGTCTCGGGGAAATACGGTAAAGTTCGTTAATTCCGAGCGGCTCGATAGGCAATCAGAACCCGCACACCTGCACCAACTAAAGCCGTATCATCTAAAACTAAAGGTCCTATTATGAATGGCGACTGGTATAGTAGCCAAGGCTACCAGTATCGTACTTTGTGTTATGTATAGCGATTAATCTCAGTATACAGAAAAGCGCAGACAACGGCCGAATTTACTTTTTTGACTTGTACATTTCGAAGTAATTGGCAACTTTGCTCCGATGTGATCAAATCCGGGCATGGGGGCCACTATTTGAATCCACGCAATGACCATCGAACAAGCCCCGAATCCAACGATTGCAAAACGTTAGTGTAGTATGGCAAGGGCGTATCTGAAATCGTCGTATGGTATGGAAAGGGTGTATCACGCTGAAATACAAAAAGCCGTAACTAACTAAAAAACACACATTATGATGCATTCATCGAATTATAAGTCCCACATCGTTATATCCAATAAAAAAATCTAGTTGTGGCTTTTTCCCCCTTTTTGTGACAATGTGGGATGCGCCCTTTCCGTACTATACGACGATATGAGATACGCGCTTTCCATACTATACTAACGAAATATTTCACGGATCGCCAATCATGCCAAAAGCAACACCTGCCAGCTCGCGTACACCAAACATTAGTATCAACCGCGATGTGTAGCCGCCACAACAACAATCAACCGCAACGAACCACCAGTCGTCGAAAAGATCTCAGAGCGTGGATCGCCCAATGCATAAGGAGGCAACAAGCATCGGCCCTTCTTGGCCCTGAGGCCCGGACCACGCAACAGTGAAGCGAGGACAGAAATACCTGGTCAGAGACTAAACCACTTATAAACACGCACCCCACCAACACACACACACCGGCCGAACTACAATTTTTCTTCCACCGTAAATTATATTTATTTTACTAGTCTTTTTTTTACATACCTACTATTTTATATTTTCATGTACCTGTACTATATAAAACCAGTATGCATCACGCAATAGTTTATAAGTAATAAATTTAAACTGAACTAAAAAAATTTGTAAATTTGCAATACAAAATTATACGATGTTCCAATCACTCAAGTCAAGTCAAATTTCCGTTTCAATGTAATGAGAAGGAATTTTTGCGTAGATTCATAACAATTGGTGAAACATGGATGCGCCATTACACACCAGAGACCACAAACAAATCAATACGGTCGATAGACGATGCGTTCTGAAATGCATCAAGCCCAAAGCATCAGTCTCTTTTATTTCTAAACTATAATTGATAGAAATGTCAAATATGCACAACCACGGTTATATGCCAAATTGGAACTTAGTTGCGTAAATAAGACATTTCCATCAATTCTAGTTTAGAAATAAAATATACTGATGCTTTGGCTTGATGCATTTCTGAACGCACCCAGAACTAGATGGAAGTGCACCAAAGAAGGCAAAAACACGGCACCTTCGGCCGGAAAGACTATGAGCACGCACATATAGCATAATCCTGATCAGACTATTTCAAGAAGGAAAAAATCGACAATTGATGAAAAATGGAATGTTAAAATAAAGGCAAAACGATCGCAACTAACAAAGAAGTGCTGTGTTCGGAATTGCATCAAGCCAAAGCATCAGTCTCTTTTTTATTTCTAAACTATAAATTATGGAAACGCCTTATTTTCGCAATAAGTTCCAATACGGCATTTTACCATGGTTACGCATATTGGACATTTTTATCATATTTTAGAAATAAAAGAGATTGATGCTTTGTCTTGAGGCATTTCTGAACACAACCAAGAAAATGATATTCCACCATGATAGTGCACCTGCACATTCATATGCAATAGCAACAGCGAAATTGGCTCTAAAATTACGAAATGCTTCCGCACGATATTTTCCAGATCCTGGACCTGTGCGATTTTATCCCTTTCCAAACATGAAAAATCGGTTTGCTGGAAGAAATTTTGCATTCAATTCTGTAGCAAGAACCGAATCTGAAGTGTCAAATAATAAAATGATTATGGTTGTTTTTTTTTTAGATTTGTAACTGACCTAATGAACAACCATCGTAAAAATTCATGTTACTAACCTTAACTAGCTACTGATCCAGTTTGCAAGATCCGAAATATATCTCTAATAGATATTAGCATTCATCGTGGGGTAAATTTTCACCCCAACAGCATTTAGTATATTGTATTTATCTTCTTTTTAATTATTTACAAAAAGTGATTATTACAAATTTACTTCTTAATATTAACCAAATAAACTAATACTATTTTATGATTTTTCACAAAAAAAATGTAACTCTACGTTTGAGGCGAATTTTCATCCCACGATGTCAGTTAAATAGTGCATAATTGTATGGCTAAAGATCAAAGAGGTTATATTTTTTAACTTTGGGCGTCATTTTTGTAAAAGCAAATAGTTCCCCTGGGTTTTGGGGGAATTTTGTTAGGGATCTTGGGAATTTTTTTTAGGGGTTTTTGGAAGTTTACAACTAAATGTTTTAGGCACGATTAAACCAATTAAAATGTGAAGAACGTACGCGCACATACTTAAATATATGCATTTTAAGGGACAATGTTATGTATGTTATATACAGATACGTAATTTTAGGCGTGGAAATATGAAATTTTCTAAGCTAATAACAAAATACGCATGCATTAAATTCTACTAACTACACTTCTAACTCTAAACTTAGCTTAGTTATGTCAAGGTAAATGATGTGTCAGTCTCCTTTATCATATCCTCAAGCTGTACACCGATACGTTTACGTGGAATATCAATTTGTATAATCGAAACGGTAACGCGATCACCCACAGTGAGTTCTGTGTTTCTCATTTTACTTATATGTAAGAGCGCATTACATTCAACCCCAACATCAAGAAAGGCACCAAAGTGTGTGATATTAGATATGGCACCTGAAACGACAATAATTTAAAATACTTTAAATTTCTTTCCAAAGACGGCAGCAAGAAATCAGTCACACTACCTGTTAGCACATCTCCCTCAGAGAGCTCAGTTATGCGTGTTAAGCCTTGCTTAAATAGTGGTCGCTTAGCAAATTCTGCGCGATAGTCTTGAGTGAGCTCGCGTTGTAATGCCATTAGTACGACATCGAGCTAAGTTTTTTTATAAATACATAGAAGTTATGCAAATAAATTTAAAAATATAACATTGAAAATAGAAAAGATTTTACCCGCTCTTTTGGTATATTAAAATCCTCAGCTAACTCTTCCATATCACACTGTAAGGCATATGCTTTGATTTTGCAAATAAACGCTTTCGTGCCGATATCATTTAGCAGCAAGTTACATTTGCTTATGATTCTACAAGGCAATATATACATACTTAAAAATTATAAATTACAAAATATGTATAGAATAAATTTTACTTTTTAGCAACTGCGTAACTCTCCGGATGCACCCAAGTGCAATCAAGCAGATTTTCAATTTTCCCTCCTACAGTCAAGGGTTCAATGCGTATAAAACTAAAATGAGAGAAGAGTTAAAAAAGTTAATTTATAAAACCGTAAAAACGAGTTGCCACCCATCCCGGAGCTATGTCTGAATCTATAGTCCAGAGGTGGGTAACTTCGACGGAGAATTTTTGTAGTGTGCGAGAAATTTAGGTCACTGTGTGCGTGCGAACAAGTCGCGAGGTTGAATAAAGCTTTCGCTGCCTTCTAAAGCAGAGCGTGTATGTATACGCGAATATGCCCGCCGGACAGGCGCCGCCCAGGTCTGCTATAGTCTGATTTTTCGCGAAATCTATGAACATCCCATCACTGAATATATACCCTCGTAGTAAATCGGATTCATTGGATTTTTCCATAGATTTCACGAAACTCGGACTGCTATGAATTCAGTAAATCTGGATTATGTTCAAAACAGAATTTAAAATACATTCATATGTAAACATTTTATACACAAATCCATTTCTTACCCCGCACATTGTACAAATGTCTTTTCGCCTATGGATTTCACTTTTAATAAATCTTTGCGAGTTTGAAAAGGGCCATTAATTGAACGATGTTCTATTATTTTTTGAGCTTTTTTCTCACTCAAACCGGCAACATGCCTAGAAAAATCAAAATTTGTCAACTAATCGTGAGAAAACATAAAAAATTGACTCACTTCAACACACTTAAGCTGGCTGTGTTAATGTCCACACCCACAAAGCTCACACATTCGGAAACGACTTCATTTAAAGCCTCGTTAAGCGTTTTCTCTGGCACGTCATGCTGATACATGCCGACACCAATGTGACGTGGTTCAATTTTCACATATTCGCTTAACGGGTCATTTAGCCGCCGTGAAATGGAGACTGAAAAGTAAACAATTTTATATATCTGTTCTATTTGTGAAAATTGTCCTTTTAGTATATCTCACCTGCACTTATTTCATTCATGTCCATATCTGGAAATTCTTTACGCGCCACTTCGCCACATGAGTATATTGAGGCACCCTGTTCCGACACTATGCTATAACGCACGGTATTTTTGTCCAATATACCGTAATCGAATAAATTCGATAGCCAAAATTCTGTTTCGCGGCAGGCTGTACCATTGCCTAAAGCAATTATTTTGCAACTATGGAGTTGCAATGAATGAAAGGTGTATTGTATATTTATTTTTCATTAAATTTGCCAAAAAAAAATTAAAAATAAAAGATAAAATCTATATACTGTGTTACGTTAGACTCACTTGTGTCTTATAAGCATTTTAGCTAGTTGGTGGCCCACCTCCTCGGGATCACTGCTACGAGCATGCGGATATATCACGCCTGTTTCCAAAACATCGGCAGTCTCGGATATTAGCGCCAATTTGCAGCCATTGGTGAAGCCTGGATCAATACCAAGAATACGTTCGCCTTTTAGTGGAGATTGCAGCAATAATTGCTTTAAATTCTGGGCAAAGACATCGATTGCAGCCTTTTTGGCCAATTCATTTAAATCGCTGCGTATTTGCCGAGACAAAAGGGGTTGCACTACGAGAAATAAGAAAATTTGTACACTGAAAATTGAGTTACAAAAATTACAAACAATTGCATTCGCTTACATTTTTTACTGTAGCACTCCTCGAATGCCTGCTCAAACACCTGGTTGCGTAGCGGATAACGCAGACCTTCATTCATAAATAGCTCGCGTGTAAAGCGTTTAATATCGTTTTTTACATAATCTGCAGTGATTATTTTTACAGTCAGGAATTTTTGCTTCTCAGCACGATTGATAGCGAGCACCTGATGTGGTTTTAAATAGCGAACATCTTGTTGAAAATCATAATAAGTTTCATATTTTGAAGCATCTGCTTTGTTCTTCGAATGAATAGTATTATTATTGTTATTCAATTTGTTTTTAACCGTAATTGCTGCCTTTTTAACAGCTGCTGTACTGGGATCTTTAGCTTTAGAGCACTTAAGCACGATGCGATGAACCTTTTGACTGGCGAAACGTTCAAATAAAGTTTTCCAGTATTCTTTTTTTTTATACTTACAGCCTCCGCATTTCTTCCAAGACACCTGTATGCTTGCTAATATTATGCGAAATTATGTGACAAATGCCCTGCAATACCTTTTCCACACTCTCCAAATCTGGATTGTTGTGATCCACTAACGTTTCTAAACGAACCTCAGGCGCCTCCCCGAATAGTAAACGATCGGCAGCATCACCTAAACCCAGCGCTTTAGCACGTTCGGCAAGTGAACCTTTGCTAGCGGGTTTATATGGCGCATACTGTTTGTGAGATATATATTATAACAAAAGTTCGCAAGCAAGCTATTTAAATTTTCCATACCAAAAACTCCAACTCCTCATTACTTTTAGCACATAAGATCTCTGTGCGTACTTCTTCTCCAATCTGTTGCTCTTTTTCCAATTGAGTGACTATCGTTTCAGCGCGTTTACGCAGCTCTACGATTTCCGTGTAAGAGTTTTTTATATCACGTAAACGTTCAGGTGTTATGTGATTAATCAAATCACGACGATAACGGCAAATGAAGGGAATGGTATTCTCATTCTCCAACAATTGTACAATATTCCTGGCAGTGCTAGGTTCAACGTTCTCCTTTTCGGCAAGTAGTTCATCGACGCGCCACACTTTGCGACGTGCTATGAATGATATAAGGGCATACGTACACACATAGATATAGGCGTATTTGATAGTAAATTCATACGTTATATTCGTACATACCCCAAAAGGAGCTGCGCCCAGTGTAAGTATTGGACTCACGAGATGGCTTGCTTGTTTGCGATTCTGCACGTGAATTGCATTGACCATCTGTTGTATCTACAGGCGCTGCGACTTCAGGATCTCCGATAGTCAAATCCAACTGCTGCTGCTCAGCATCTCCATCCTCCGCAACTTCTATGACATCACAGTCAACTTCAATCGTGACACTTGGTTTCTCTTTGGATTTTTTAGATCTCGACGCTGATTTTCCGTCCTTTTTGGTGCGGTTCTCTGAAACTTTGGCTGCTTCTTTAGTATTACCGGTTTTTTTTGTTGTAGGAAAACGTTTTCTATGAACATGCAAAATGAATAAGTGTGTAATAATGGTAAGATATATAAACGTTTGCTTACCGGCTAATTGCTGCGCTTCCAGTGGCAACTTCTCCCCCAGACACTGAACGTGCCGCAGCATCTATTCGAGCCAACTTGGTCGGAGGAGGAGAAAAAGAACTATCACGTCGCCTTGTTCTAGACACTGTGGGAGCATCTTCGTCTGAATCAGACAGCTCTATAATCTGCGTGGCTCTAACTGCAGCTTGACGTCGTGGGCGCCCAACCATAGTGCGCGAGTAAAACAAAAACCGCAAACTGGAATTTACACAGAAAACAAATTTTTACAAGCGCCAACAACGACTATTTTAAATTAAAAGTAGACTCCAGCAATTCACAAATTTTTAATTCCGTATACTACGAAAAAATGTGAAATCCCGCTACAAAACTGTAAATTTGAAAAGCACGCGTTCATCAGCTGATTTCTTATTCCAGTCTCACACGTTCCAATTGGTCGAACGACATGCTCATCTTAAACATGATCAGTGTTGCCACTGATTCTTATCCTATTGCGCCATTCTACAATTGCACATTTGTGCCAGTTGGTTTGAAACGGAGTTCGCGTCCGTTTTACATCAAGTTTCGTAAATGAATTCGCCGCTCATTTGGTTTTCCGGCGACAAAGAACCGTGACGAAAAGTGCTCGATGCAAGGCGAATTTATACAAGGTAGTGCTCCCTGCAAGATAGGGCTACCAGCAATTACAATTACAATGATTACAATACAATTGTAAGATCAGATGATTTCTTCGCTTTACATGTATTTCGCTTTTGATTTTACTTATTTTACAGCAGGAGGATTGTTCCGTGCGCAGAAGTGGAAACCTTTTGACTGTCATTCACCTGGGAGTGGTCAGAACTGATTCTTGCGCATACGGTTCCAATCGCAGCTCACAACGTACGGATAAAACAGCCGTTTCGGAGCGACCTAAACTGAGAAATCGTAAAAGTTCGCGTGCGCTGGGTTTAGGTCCCGCCATGTTAAAACCCCGCCCAATTAAAAAAAACAGAAAGACTCGGATGAGAACCCGTTTTTTTTTGATGACGACCCCGGCAAACTTATAAAGGACTATGATTTNGCAGCTCACAACGTACGGATAAAACAGCCGTTTCGGAGCGACCTAAACTGCCATGTTAAAACCCCGCCCAATTAAAAAGAACAGAAAGACTCGGATGAGAACCCGTTTTTTTTGATGACGACCCCGGCAAACTTATAAAGGACTATGATTTAAGGCTATGCACCTGGAATATCCGGACCCTTAATTGGGAAGGTGCCTCTGTCCAGCTGGTTGATGTCCTCGGGAAGACAAAGGCTAACATCACCGCCATTCAAAAAATGCGGTGGACGGGGCAAGGCAGGGTAAGCGTGGAACCATGCGACGTCTACTATAGTTGCCACGTAAAGGAGCGCAAATTCGGTGTGGGATTTGTGGTAGTAGAGAGACTCCGTCGCCGAGTACTGGGGTTCATCCCGGTGGACGAACGTCTAGCCACAATCCGCATCAAAGCGATATTCTTCAAAATCTCGCTCATCTGCGCCCATCTTCTAAAGGAAGAGAAGGAGGAGGCGTCCAAGGATCTCTTCTATGAGCGCTTGGAGAGAACATATGAGCGCTGCCACCGACACGATATAAAAATCGTGCTTGGCGATTTCAATACCAAAGTGGGCAAGAAAGGGATCTCTCTGAGAGCACTCTTCTACAAACCGACATACACAACCAGTGGAGCCACATTTCACGCTCATTAAGTACTACCGCCGAAGAAACAGGCGGATTTGAGCGAGCCCGAAATAACAACTGGTACGATGAGGAGTGTTAAAAGCTGCAGAGAAAAAAGATGTCGCTTACAGGGCCTCGGTGTTATGATTTGCAACGCGAGCCACGTGGACCGTTATAGGGAACTGAAGAGGGAAGCGGGAAGTAGTTTCCGCATTATATAAATTAGCCTTTTTCAAAATCGTCGCGGCACATTTCCAAGGTAACGAGTTGTCTCTTCTTATATGTAGATTTACGTTCGTTGGTTGAACAATGCAAACGCGCTTCAAGCGGAAACTAATACCATGTTCTGACCGACATCGAAAACATGTTTTCGTTGGTAAAACTGGTTTTCGACCTAAAACTTGTGTTTCCGTCCATGTAGAATCTGTCATACGAAAACTAGTTTTCGCTGAAAACCACTTGAAAACTCACGTTCCACTCATTCCATTCGGTGTCTGCACTAGTTTTTTTCGATTATTTATCGAAGTGGAAGTCTTATTTTATCATCTTTAATACGTCATTTCGGATTTATTGTTAATTGGCTGGCCAAAATAAAGCAAGCATGGAAGTAAAAGGTTGTTAATGAAAAGAAATTGAAGGAAAAGTATTTTGGTTTTGTTTTTGTGTAGCAAAACTGTAAACAAAGGATGAAAGAAATGTCAACGAAAACACCAACAGTCGGTGTGAACAGCATTCAGCCCACAATCCCAAAGGTGTTCCAAGGTGTTTTCGTTGTCGGTCAGAACATGGTATAAATGATTTCGTTCGAAAATGAGGGTGGACCCCCAATGGGGTACGTGTGGCAACCATAGAATCAGCTGTTTATCAGCTGTTTGAAAAATGACTTTTTTCTTCAACTGTCGATAAAAACAAACTTTTAGGGATTTAATAAATTTAAAGATATTAAAAGAAACCACAAATGACAATAGCACGCAGCATTTTGTTAATACAAAGCATTGGTATACATGCGAGGTCGCATCGTTTTTATAGCAGCGCAAAGTTGCGAAACATTGGTATTTTAGCACATATCGATGCAGGTAAGCAGAGTGGGGTCTACGTAATCGGAACAACCCAGATTTATATCTGGCCAAAGACTATCACTCCAGCAACACTCCCCAAAAACTCTTTGGGGAACTTGTATGCTGCTACAACAAAAACATTAATTTCAAATAGATACACGATTGATATTACAACATAATTTTTAGGTAAAACAACCACCACAGAGCGTATGCTCTTCTACGCTGGGAAGACACGCACCCTGGGCGAAGTGCATCGCGGGAACACTGTTACAGATTACCTAACGCAGGAGCGTGAGCGCGGTATAACGATATGCAGCTCGGCGGTCGCTTTCAACTGGCGTGGACACAAGTGGGTTGTACCAACGAAATGTCGTTCCCACGACAGTCCCTCTTTGGGGAATTTATATATCAGCATATACACAGCAACAACCAAAGAAATGTTGATTAAAAATTGTATCTTCTTTTATTTTTAGAATAAATCTTTTAGACACCCCGGGTCATATAGACTTCACAATGGAAGTGGAGCAGTCGCTGCACGCTGTGGACGGTGTTATTGTAGTGTTAGATGGCACAGCTGGCGTCGAAGCACAAACAATCACGGTATGGACACAAGCTGAAAAACATCGTTTGCCCAAGCTGGTATTTGTGAATAAAATGGATCGTCCGGACGCAGATTTCATGGCCTGCGTGCGTGACTTGTCGCAAAAATTGGATGTAAAACCCATTTGCTTACAGTCGCCATTGAAGGATGATAAGGGAAATTTGGGTATGTTTATAATAAAAAAATATATACATATATATACATATATAATAAATTAAGCCTCTTAGGTATATTGGATGTAATCACACAGCAAACGTTCACTTGGAATACTGAAAGTTTGGGTCGCGAGTATTCAGCACAGCCACCTTTAGATGTACATCTGGCAGAGTTGCAAGAGAAACGTTACACCCTGATAGATGAGCTTTCCGGTATCGATGATGAGCTAGCGCAGGTAGTTATAAATAGTGAAGGTTTCGAACAAGTCACCAACGAGCTAATCCAACAAGCCTTGCGACGCTCTGTAGCGCGGCGTAAGGTGGTGCCAGTGCTTGTTGGCTCGGCATACAAAAATGTAGGCATTCAGCTCGTAATGGATGCAGTCATTGATTATTTACCAGCACCTCATGAACGCAGCCAGCTTTACGATTGTTTTGGGTAATGAACTATTGTACAATACAATTTTGTTACCATATCGTCACCTGATTGAAAGATCAACTTATCTCTGAAGCCAGTTCGAAAACGACTTATCTCAGAAAACTTTTCAAGAACGCCTTACTTCAAAATTTTATTGAACAATGCCGTAATTCATAGTTTTATTGAAAAACAACCATCTCAGAATTCGATCAAAAAACATTAAATACATTGAAAATGTGCTGAGATCGGGCGTTCTTCAGCCAAATTCAGATATAGCACTTGAAGTTTTCTGAGATAGGACGTTTTCGAACTGACTGCCGAGATAGGTCGATCTTCCACTCAGGTATCGATATACTATCCTACCTACCTTTTAATGCAACCTCACTGATATAGTGAAGATTTTGTCGGCAAAGTTTTTAAAATTGTGCACGACAAGCAACGTGGTACCTTGACGTTGGTGCGCGTGTTTCGTGGGGAATTGAAGAAAGGCTCACGTTTGGTTACCACACGCAACACTGCAGAGGCGATTAGCAAAGTTTATGAGCCTTTAGCAGATGAGTACCGGGAAATTAGTGGAGTGCCAGCAGGAGATGTAGCAATATGTGCTGGCTTGAAGGTAGAGTAAGAACCAAATAATATTTTTTAATTACATTACAACTGTTTTCCATTCTTACGAAATTCATCCCTTAGCATACAGTTACTGGTGATCTGTTGACGGCAAGTGTCTCCACACTAAAAAGTGCACAAAAGCGTTTAGGAAAAACACTGAAATTACCTGAAAACCATGTAACTCCCGAAGAGAGCGATACTGATGCTACCCTAGTGAGTGAGATATTCGCCACAGAGCCACAAATACCTGACGCTGTCTACTTTTGCTCCATCGAACCACCTAGCTTAGCGACTCAGAATGCCATGGAGGCAGCGCTAAAGCAATTGCAGCGCGAAGATCCCAGCTTGCGTGTGAACTACGACTCTGTTACTGGACAAACAGTACTGGGTGGTAAGAAACCAACGAATCGGGTTTGAATTTATAGTGTCTCCACGTTTACTCGCTAATTAAATCGATCTAATTTCCAGGCATGGGTGAACTGCATATGGATATTGTTAAATCTCGCATACTCACCGAATATAAAATCGATGTAGATCTTGGGCCACTACAAATTGCCTACAAAGAAACGATTGAAGAGCCAGCAATTGAGACTTTTCAGTTAGAAAAGGACATAGCTGGTAGTAAGCAAAGTGTAATGATTACACTGGAGCTGACGCGTGAACAGAAAGAACTATTTAGGTACATAGCTATGCAACATTAACATATGTTTATGTTCCATAATTTTAAAGGTGATCTAATCAGTAGAATGAATGAAAACACTTTTTACCTTTGGTTGGTTAAGTTGAACGATTAGCAAATGCGTTCAGATAGGGTTAAATGATCATTCATACACAAACGGCGTGAAATCACTTAGACCACCTTTTAAATGATGACACATATAGTAACTTGTAAGGTAAAAATATGAAGAAAAAAATGACGCTATAACTTCTTTATTTTACAGCTTAGATAAATCCGGCGAGAATGCTGCAAATTTAAATACTGTCCGCCCACGCATGCTGCATGTGATACGTAAAGGTGCGTTATCGGCCTTGGAACGCGGGCCACGCGTTGGTGGCCAAGTGGTTGAAACACAGATACGCTTACATAACATAACAATAGGACGTGGTACGGCTGATTCCTTTGTAATGGCAGCAGCGGCGCAATGTGTACAAAAGGTAAGAATTTTATAGCATAAAACATGCACCAAAGATTTTTTTTTGTTTTTTTTTTTTGTTGCATTCAGATATTAACCTCAGCTGGCACGCGCTTGCTTGAACCAATTATGGCTCTGGAAATAGTTGCGCCAACGGAACGGATATCTGCAATAATGGCTGATTTGACACGTCGTCGCGCCACAATAAATGACGTGCGGCCGAAAAGTGAACAAAATAAGGTGAGAGCAAGAGCTGGAGGGTTCTAATTTTTCGAAACAAAAAAATGTTTTTTCCAATATTCCATTAATTTTTGTCTGAAAGTACATTACGACTACAATACTTAAAACTGCATTGATATATTAAAAAAAAAAACATGCTGCGAAAATAACGTAAGCGACATTTTTTTGTTTTTCAAAAATTACTTTACGATGCAGAAATGCTTTAAAGGGCTCTAAGAGCATAAACAAGTAAATTTTGAAAAAAATTTCGCTAACGTTATTTTCTCACACAGGGCTCGTAAATTAAGTAAAATTATTGGTGGATAGCATGTAAATGAACTTTACTACCGCAAAATATCGAAAACGCTACCTATTAACCTTCAGTTTTAGACGACATAAAAATACTATTATGCAGAGCCTTCACAGTAGTGCTTTGTAGACTCGTCCAGTATCCAGTAGCACCACCCCACTCAATTTTTCGAGCATAGTAGTAACCTGATTCTTTTCTATTTTTGTCCCCAGGTTATATCCGTTAATGCACCATTGGCTGAGTTATCCGGCTATTCCAGTGTGTTGCGCACCATTAGCTCGGGCACTGCGAGCATGACAATGCAACCCTGCGGTTTTGCAAATATGAATGCAAACGATGAGGTGCGTGCAATAAAAAGAGCGCAAGGATTTGAATAAATTAATGGAAAATATCTGCTTAAAGTTGAGATTTACAACAAATACATAGACAGATGCCAATATTATTTTTGTATTATCTATAAATAAGTTTTAAAAATATAGCTATTAACTTATAATTACGTATATTTACAAAAAAAAAAAATGTAAATAAATAAAACAACATTAAATATTTATTCATTTGGAAGTATTTATTTCAAAGTTTTAATTTCTCACCATTTTTATTATTTGTCTTTTTTTATGTAACATTTTATGTTTTCGTTCAATTTTGTTTTGTTAATTTGCTTATTTTAGCAGCATATAATCATATTACTAGATGCGTTTTTCAGTATATATTTGTAAATTATTTTTTGTTAGACATTTTCCGTGTTTACATTATTTTTCGCTTACCTCAAATGTTCTACATATATATATATATATGAGAGTCATGCTTGTTTACATACACATGTACATATATGTATGAAAATTTTAAATGTACGCGCGGCGCTTAGATGTACATATGCATGTACATATGTCGTTATTTAAAGATGTATCTTTTATTGGTATGTATATTGGTGTATGAAAAGAAGAAAAAAGAAACGAGTGGAAAAAAATGTGCAAACATAAATAATAGTTTAAACGGTTGCCGGTAATGCTTTCGAATTAGAGAATACATATATCGAGAGCATATAACTATTCAATACTATTTATCTGCAGTTTCCGCATAATTGTAATTGTAATAACTCCGTATTTTTCAAATTTCCACGTTGCTTTTTATCAATACACTACTATAGTGGATATCGAGCCCTAACAGCCGAAAAAATTTAAGCGATATTTTTTCAAAATTTTCTTTTTGATCAGATATTCATCTAGACACTCTAGGAGCATTTTTGCATAAAAACAAGATTAAAAGGTCGCTTAAATTTGTTTGGCTGTATGCAACGACAAGTTGTAGACGGTTATAACTGCGTTGCATTTTTGCAACAACAGTATAATACAAAGGCTGTTGCTAAAGAAAAATTAGATTTTCTGTTGAGTTACAAATTTTCTGCTGGTTTGACGCAAATTTTACCCACAGTGAGAGCAAAGATGTCACTCAACCTGAGGGCGCTTGATCTCGACACTATGCTACTGATTTGCAATGTATTTTTTCCCGCTGAATCTGAATTTGGAGTCAGAATTGCCAAGATTGGCTCTTATCGCTCAAAATTCTCCCGAAATGATCTAAATAAATAAATAAATAAATAAATAAACAAGTCTTGAACCGGTACCTAAATGGTCCATTATTAGTCCCAAAGTGATCCCGAACTAGTCCCGAAATGGTGTTCAAATAGTTGTCCCAAAACTATTCTGAACCAGTTCGAAATGGTCTTTAAAGGCTGCCGAAATTATCCTTAACTACCCTCGAAATGCTCACGAACTGGGCGCGAACTATTGCCTGGGTTCCACAAGGAGCAGTTACAAATTTTCTGCTGGGTTAACCGCAAATTTTACCCATACCGAGAGCAAAAAAAAAATGGTAAACAAAATTTTTCGAAAGTTGGCGGCTAAAGGATCATTGATCTAAGCAGTAGCTCTTAATTAAACTGTTGTTTCATATTTTTTAATAAGACCTCTAAAACCTTATAGCAATTACAATTTTTCCATGGGAATTTCGACAGTTCAGTTAAACTCTTGACCAGGTACGGTAATCATTGTGTGTAAAATAATTTAAATCAGCCTCTAATCATTATATTACACTTTTTATTTTTTTTTTTTGTGCTCAAAAATAATAACACTGTGCAACAAATTTTAAAAAGTTGGAGGTGATGGGAATTGGACCGTCAGCATTTGATTAACTTTGACCCCTGTGCGACACGCCTTAAATTTATATGTGATATCTTCGACTAAAGTAGTATTGATTTTGGATATTAATTGAAAAAAAAAAATTTTTTTAATTTTTTGAGTCTCCATAGAGGAATCTGAACTTTGCTCCCTGTGCGAAACGCCTTAACCGTCTCCAATCGGGAGCAAAATTAATACGTGAAATCTGTGGCCGCGGTATTACCGATTGAGGGACTGAGACTGAAAAAAAATTTTCATTTGATTTTAGGGACCACCCTAATATATATACATATATGTACATATGTATGTAGGTATGAAATTTGTGAGCGGAACCAAAAAAACCATTGTAATTGTTTATTTTTGAACTTTAAATTCACAACTTCAGATCGATATAAAAAGGAAAAGGGAACCAATTTTTCAAATGCTTTGGTATTTATTCATATTTTGACCTTTTTTAATGTTTGTAATTGGTCTCATTCTCGTCACTTTTCGAGTGTTGCACTGTGTATTTACTACTGAGCTTTATTTTTTCGCTCAACGGAAATAATTATTATTTGATTTTTACTTTTTCGATCACAAATAATAGACCTATTTTATTTGACCAGAAATTTAAGCTATTCGCTTTATTTGTATGGAAGGCTTACCCAACATAATTACATATGTATATTGGCTTATGAAAAGCTATCTTTGCTTATACATATATTGAGCTAGAGGCATTGCCCTCAAGCATCAGAATGAAGCAAAAACTTGCTTTGACACTACAACGTTAAAAATTGATATTCCCAACAATATTTATAATTCAAAATTTTAAAAAAATATGAAAATTGTATGCATGTCTGCTTGCCATAAAAGAGGTCAATGCGATAATTCGTTATTTCCCATTATACCGCATTGCCCGCAAAGATGAACAGTGCGCACAAAAAAAAAAAATCTTAACAAAGACTTGAATATTAAAAAAAAAATTTTTTTGCTTGCAGTCAATAAGCTAATTTCGTTTTATTTGACCAAGATTTAGCTATGTATTAGCTTGTGATGGTTGAATAAAACATGCGTAATGATATTGTTTTTCGCTCAAAGATAATAATTATTATTGCGTTTTATTTTTCCACTTAAATATCGAGCCCTAACCGCCAAAACAACGTAAGCGACATTTTTTTCAAAATTTTCTTTTTGATGCAGAAGTATTTAGATACATTTCTGCATAAAAAAGAAAATTTTGAAAAAAATGTCGCTTACGTTATTTTGGCGGTTAGGGCTCGATATGTTCATATGTATGTATAAAAATTATTCATAAAATAAAATAAAAGGCCATACAGACGCAAGCAACTGAAATTTTGACCTGAAAATTTTGCGACTTATTCATCCCTACCTCTGAAAAGGATACGTCGGAAGTAACGCTGATATAGCTTTTGAGTTTTTTGAATGATTCTTAAGTGAAAAAATTAAACTCACTAATAATTTTTCGTTGAACGAAATAAAATAACAATAAAAATCGTAAACTAATCATTATTTTTGATCGAGCGGAAAAATAAAACTCAAATATTAATTATTATTTTTAATCTTTATTGGTTAAAATCGAAAAATAAAATTCATCGTAAATATTACAGTAGGACGTACGAACACAAATGCGTGAGTATAGTTAAAATTGTTTTACGGCGATTACAATTTTGTTTGTTGTTTGTTTGGTTAAATTATAAAAAATAATGATTATTTTCCGCCCCTGCTTTTAACGCTTTTAGCCAATTTCACGTGAGCTATTTAAGTGAAAAATTCCATTTTTATTTAACCTAAAAACTGACAGGGGGCGGGGGCGAAAAAATGTTTCACTTAAATTGCTGCTGAGACCGCCAGATAAGTAATTTTTGAGATTGAGAGATCATTTCATATATTAGTGTTAATGGCTGAAACTTTATCATGTAGACATCCAGACATCCGTGAGTAGTCACTAAGAAGTTTTACCGATTCTAAAGTAAATTCCAAATGCAAATCGTGGAATCATGTGATTTCTTAAAATAATATTGGCAAATAAAATCAAATCTGCAGTTCTGAAAGCAAAAAACAATTACCCAAAACCCTACCTACACCATTTACTGGCGCTGTGTATTTGTGGCTGACCAAAAAGATCGAGGCTTTCTACTTTTTTTTATTTATTTTTTTCTTTATTTTTATTTGATTTTCTTTCTTTTTAATATTACTTTTCGTTTAGCTTTTTAAGTTTGCTTTACTTCAATTTTAATACCCTAACTACAGACGTGGACATATGATTAAACGTATTTCTGTTTATATATGTATATGTATCTGTATGTATGTATGCATTAAAATGTATGTAGTTTTATAAAATATATGTATAAGTTTACAAATTATGAATAATAAATAAGGCAATATAAAGCGAAAAAAAACTGAACATAGTACGTACAATTAAAAAACAATAACATAATGCATACATATTTATATACATACAAATGTATGTATATAAACTATATATGCGTATAAAGAGAAAACGAAAATTATAGAACAAAAAAAAAAACCACAACAACAACAACAGCAGGCTGAAAGAAATGCTTACAAATAAATTAAGGAATTCAATTTGTGGAATTAAGTGTTGCTTTTTTTTATTAATATAGCAGCGTAATTGAAATGTATGCAGATGCTTGTGTATGTATGTATATATTTTTCTGCTTCATCTAATGTAAAATTTACATATCCTTTTTTATTGTTTTCTCTAATTTCTAAGTGAAATGATATTCTCAAAATCAATAGTTAAAAACTTAAAGAAATCAACACAGAAACATGTACTGACCAGGCTTCTTGAGTGATACGACAATATGAAATATGAATTCATACTTTTAGGTGTCTTGTGTTTTGGACGCTTAAAATGATTTACCGTCGCCGTGTGGAAATATTGGAAATATTTTTCGATACTCAAGATCACTATGACAATAGTCATATCGGCAAGTTTTGCCATTTTTTGGGAATAGAGCTGTTAATTTCACGTAGTTCAGCGACGCTACTCTTTCTATTTGTTTTTACTGTTTAGCTTAAACAAATTCTATTTTTAGGCCGAACTTAACTAACCAGAGTTTTTTACACAAAATTACCAGCGGAAGTTCGACGATTGCTGTCCTAACTCTTCACTAAAAGAACTGGATATCTTAGCAGGTAGCGTTTTCAAATAGGTAGGTTAAATGATATCGATTAATCGATAAGTTAAGTTTTGTTTTGGCAATATTTTGTAAAAGACGCAGGATATTTTGTAACTTTGAACTTTTAAATATCGAATTTGGCATTTTCGAAAATTTAACTTCACACTCGTTATTTCGGTACAGCGGTTTCACGATATAGTACATAAGTAATAATATTCAATAATATGTGATTTTGACAGTTTTATTATCAAAGTCGATTTCGAAACTTTCAAAAATAATGAAACTTTTGAATGTGATCATTTGGTTTTTTATTTCGCTTAAACGATACTAACGGTTTAAGAATTCGACATTTTCAAGATCTAAACTTTACAATCGACTTTCTGTGATTTTAATATAAAGAAAAAGCGATTTTTTTTAGTGGAAATTGAACTATAACTTTCGAAGATTTTAGATTCCGACATTTTCGAAAATGTAGATTTCATAACTCGTATTAATATCTAAAAAATTGAATTCAAAATTTTCGATAATGAAACTAAGTAGCTACATACATATTTGAAGTTTTCGAAAACCGATTTCGAAATTTCCAAAAAAAAAAAAATATATATGAAAAATTATAAATTGTTTTAGTATAAATTCCAGTGTTTTATTTCCTTCGAAATTTCCAGAAATGATACGAAGAATTAGCGATATTTTTTTTTTATATGAAATTGAAATTCTCGAAAAAGAAAATATTCCATTAACGATATCGAAATATCTGATTTTTTATAATTTTCGAATTTCCGAATATAACGTTTTCAGTTTTTTCATTTTGTTATAGCGGATCACGGAATTTGACATTTTTTCGAAATTGAGATCACTGGCATATGTGCATATAAAATATATTATTATATATTTATTATTTAATTCGCTGCAGCCGATTATAGATGCTATTAAATACCCATATTATGAGATGTACTTGATTTTCGATTGTGATCGAAAGCTGTTCGAACGAATTTTCATTTGGTATTATCAAAGAATAAGAAGAATAAGAAGGGACGTTATAAGTGTAGCGAGCGTGAGTAACAGGGGCATGCCTTCTCTTTTCATCTAATCAAAAAACGTATTATGGCGAAAGAGAAGGCACGCTCCTGTTACTCATGTCCGCTACAATTATAACGTTTTGCCCCTTCTTATTATCTTTGTTCTTTGGTATTAAATATGACATTCGTCGACGAATAGCGCTATTGTGAACTTCACTCCTTTGGATTGTTCTATAAGCATCGAAGATCGAACACATAAGTATTTGAAATTTTCGAAAATGAAACTAGTTAACATCAGAAACATTTTCTATTTCGATTTCCAAAAATAATATTGTGAATTGCCATTTTTTTAATATCAAATTCGGAATTTTCGAAAATGAAAGTATTACATCGTAAATTTTTCAGTATCCAAATATCTTTTATTTCGCATTTTTTTATTTCAGTATAACCGAATTTGATACTTTCTGAAATGGAAATATGAGTATTACATCCATTTTATTTTTTTTAATTTGATGCAGCGGCTTACAGACCATTACCTTTTTCTTAACATTATGGAATTCAACATTTTCGAAAATTAAACTATAACTACCGACATTTTTTGATATCGATATATACGTTTATACTACATTTGAAGATTTACATATTTTAAATTTCCAATTAGCGTTTTACGAAAGGCTTTGAAAAGCTTTTAAATCCGATATCGCTAAAAAAAAGTATCGAAATGGACTTTAAAGAAAATCTAACTGTCTGTTTGTGATATATTTTTTAAACCCGCATCGAATTCGACACTTTCGAATACGATATAGCTGAAAAAGTAAGCCATATTCAACAAAGTAGAAGGCTACCTTGCACCTTGTTGATTATGTCTTGACATTAAAATATGTCTTGCATTGCAATTCAAATATTTATATCATTAATATTTATATCTATTACAAAATATTGCCGAAAAGTGACTTACTCTTCGAATTTCGAAGTTTCTATTCAACGTGCGGACTTTTAACGCCCCTTACAAAAGTAGCCTAAAGAGAAGAAGTTTAGAAGTTTAGTTTTTGCATATATATTTAAGTAGCTTGCGTCATTTAACGTGTAAGCAGCTGAGACAAAAGAAGAACCTTTCCACTAATTTGCTTTCGGATATACTATTCGCACTGTAAATGTCACTCACTGCTTTTAGGCGTCAATTTTGTGTATTGGTAAAAAACCAAACGAAACCGAAATAATTTTCATGTACATAAATACGATTACGAATTTTTAAAAGTAATTTAATTGAAACTCATTTGCGATCTTAATTTTTAATACGTTTTCTATCATTCATAATGATAATCTTTTAAAGATAATTGTTTTTTATGTATATGTTCTTTAAGCGATTTTTTTGTTGCTTTTCTTTTCATCTTTTTGAAAGTTTTTTGTTTTTTTTTTGTTTTATGTATAAATAATTCTAAAATAGCGTATTTATGTATGTATATATAATATTACATAATATATGTATGTATGTATGTAGATACAACGAAGAGCGTAATTTGTTGTTGCATTTGTATGTGTATGTTTGTTTGTTTGTGTAATTAAATTCACAATACAATTATCAATTGTAATTAATATTTATAAATCATGTTTCTCTTTTTTTTTTTTGTTTTTTTTTTTAATATAATACACACACATACAATCGTAGTAGAGTTAAATACATACATGTATGTATGTATATAGTAAATATAAATTAAAAATAATAGTATTTGTTATGTTTGCATGTAAAGTATGTATGCAAGACAGTTAACACACGTTGAAGTTGGCCTTGACTTTGACGTCGTAAAATTTGTTCGTGTTACTCTTATGTATGCTTGTATGTATGCGTTTCACAACTAGTTATTGTTGTTGTTGTTCGTGGCATCGGGGGTGCAAATGATATCTGTTTAAATGCCCATGCATATTTTTGGGTGGATGATTTTGTTGATCAGTGTCATTTTCAGCTAGACGCTTACACGCTTTTAGCTTTAGTGGCTTTTGTGATGATGCGCTGATGAAGTTCGATATTTGCTTTTACTTTGTTTTGGGAGCGCCAAATTTAGTGTACGATTTTTGGTTCTTTCGATTCGATTTTCGGTTAATTTATGTAGATGTATAAGTATTATGCATATATTTATGTTCGGGTGTGCGTTCCCACATGAATGTGGGGAGAAGAAATAAAAATTAGCTGAAATTAGCAAAGACAAATTTTCATTAGAAACCATAGCTTAATCCAAAAATGGTAAAAAACTAAATAAAATCTTGAAGAAATTTTAATGTAAGTAATTTCGTAAAGAGATAAAAAAAAAATACACATTGTGCAGACTCTTGATAAACAGGTAAAATTGTCAATAAACTGGAAATGGCAAGACGTAACGAGCAGGGGTGTAACTCTGTTCAATGGCATTCTAGAACCTTGATTTCCATTCTCAAAAATCTAGATTTTCCAGTGCAAGACAATATTCTTGCGGTAGTTAACTTTTGCTTTTTGTACCGAAATTCAATCCTTGATTGCCGAATGCGAGTTAACTTTTCACTGTGACAACGGCCTTAAATGAATAACATACATATAAAGATCGTAATTGTGCCTGAGTATGACAGGTCTATCGAGGCAGCTGAAGCCCTTACTCTGGCAATGGGTGGTGGTTAAATTCTGATTATGGTATTCACAGGGAGAGGGAATTAGGGTTAAGTGCCTGTCTGCACAGCGTCGGGTCAGTAGTTTTTTTATACAGTCCAGGAGCTTTCCCGGAAATTCAAGCAGATGCCATCTGATGTACTTTGGAAGAGATCTTTCTTGTCACAAGTGCCTTTCGAGTGCAGGGCGTCAATATTGAGCAGTCGCCAATCTATGAGATATGGTAAGCTCCCTATGATACAGTAGCGGGTGAGATCGGTCGATAAAACGTTCTAACGATATCAAACTTTATGAACCGGAATTACGCGGATTTTACCCAATTAAGAGCTGTTGTTTCAGTCATCTAACACCTCCGCATCCCCACGATACATATTTCGGCAGATAACTAGCAGTGGAATTATGACAATCGCCACGATAAATTTTCGTCGTTAAAACTCTCTAAATGAAAAGCAGTGGGGCCCAAAAGTATGCAACATGGGAGAGTAACGCAAGCAATTTAATTTTTCTATCGATTAAATTAAAATTATGATGGAAAGAGATTTCGGTCTGAGACTACGTCGTGGAGTACCTTGTTTCGAATGTTTTTTTTTTTTTTTTGTAATGGAAGTGACCAACAAAAATGTATCTAGGTTTGAGAATATATTGAAAATAGGTTGGGGGCTAAGATATTTCGCTTATTTCTGAAGATAATAACCTAGTGTTCGCAACAAACAAACAAACAAAAAAAACGGCAAAAATTGATTTCACAAGTTGAGAAAACAACAACCAAAAACAAGGAATATTTGGTTAAAAGCTTTAAGTTTAGGAACTCGAAGCCCGAATAGGTTTCATATATAAATACTGATAGTTCAGCAATATAATACTAGATTTTCGAACTACTTGAAGTTTTTCCCAGTCTAAGGAAAAACATACACCTAAAATACATATATAATTAAAAAAAAAATATAAAAAATTAAATCTGCATTTCAATCGAGACCCTTTCTATGGTAACTACACACAATTAACGAATTTCACTTACCAAATCGTTTTTTCTTTCATTGTTTGTCAATGTTTCCTTATAATAACTTTTTGTTTACATTCGTATGTATGTATGTATAAAAGAAATCGAAATTCAATTTTATTGAATTTTTCTTTGCGAAAGTGTTTCTCAGCTTAAAAGAGTTCGTTTACAATCTTCCGTTTTTTAGTTTTTGTTTGTTCACTTCCGTCTTCACTCAATGGCGTGCTTTTGCTACAGCAGGTCTATGTGTCTGTGTGTGTGTGTGCTCATTCCTGTACAAAGCTCTCTGATGGAGTTGCAAGTGTTTGTATATATGGGGTCCTTCATTTCTTTTTCTCTTTTTTTCTGTAATTGCAAAATTAAAAATAAAAAAGAACGAAAAAAGATAAAAGTTTTTAGAAAATTAAATATGTATGTACAATGCAAGTGTTTGTGCACACATGTAAATAAATATCTTTGTGTATAAATAAAATGTATTTAAAAAAATTACGCCTAGCAAACTATTCTAGTGCTACTGACTGGATAAACTAGAAAATAATTTACCTTCAATTAAGCAAAAACCACAACCATTGCGGAAAAGAAAAAAAAAAATACAAAAAAAATTAAGAGCTACAAACAAAAAGCGAAATTTAAACAACACATACTATGTGGGTACATATGTAAATATTTATATAGGGTGATCCATCTAGACCTTCAAATCTTGGCTGCAGAGAGAACATAACCGAAAATACCGAGCGCTACCACACCTTGATAACTGCCTTTTTGTTGGCTGAAATTGAACCTTTGAATGAAGTAAATAGTAAATATCAGAGATTATTTTTTCGGGCGATAGAAAAGATTCCGACATCCAGATCTGTTTTAAGTGTTTTATTTTAAATAGAAAAATTCTAGATGGATCACCCCATATATTGCAGTTAATCAGTAATTTATCTGAAAGCTAAGACGATTAAATATATGGGTTTATCTGGTTACGAATGTTAACTATTTTCATTTTTTACAAAAAATCGCACAGCGATGCCTTTTTTCGGTTGAAAATTAAAAAATTCACTGAAAAAGTTTTTTGCAAAAAAATTTTAACTGTAGTTAAAATTGCAAAACTTAAAATTATAGAAAAAAATAGAAAAAATAAATATTTTTTTTTAGTTTTCAAAAAAGATTTTTGTGATTAAAAAAATTAATTTTTTTTAAGTTTTCAGAAAAGATTTTTGTGATAAAAAAAAATACTTTCTATTTAATACAAAAAAGGGAACGATGCCGTTATTTTTCGGCATTAATTTTGAAATAAATAAAAAAATAGATAAACAAAAAAATAAGGAACATTTTTTGACAAAGAAATTTATTTATTTTAATTTAATAAAAAAAAAATGTTAATATATTATTTAATACAAAAAAGTTTATTATTTTCGCCATTACTGTTGAAAAAAATAAAAAAGTGTACAAAAAACAAATTCTAGGACAATTTGTAACTACAAAAATTTCACGATGCTGTTATTTTTCGTCATGACTGTAGATTAAAAAAAAAATGCCAGAAAAAATTATTTTTGTAAAAAAATTTAATTGTAGTTAAAATTGTAAAAAACTGATAATTATATTGAAATAATTAAAAAAAAAGAAATTTTCGGAAAAATACTGTTGAAAAAAATAAAAAAAAAACTTTGTAACTGTACCTAAAATCGTATACCAGAAAATTATATTGAACAAATCTTTTAGAAAAAATATAAGGAAATTTTCCAAAAAATTTTCGGAAACCATTTTTGTGACCAAAAAAATTTGATTTCTTTTAATTTAGTACAAAAAATTTCCCGATATATGTGTAGCTGCCGTTTTTTTCGCCATCTTTGTTAATTAAAAAAAAAAACAGTAAATAAAAACAAGTTTTGTCAAACAAATTTTATTGGAGTTAAAATCGTAAAACTGAAAATTTTACTGAAAATATTTCTTAAAAAAAAAAATATGCTACGGAAATTTTTCAAGAAATTTTCAACAAATATTTTCTCTAACATAATTTTTTTTAGTAAATTTATAAAAACACAGGGTGGATTTTCGATTAACTAATGAAACAAATTAATTAATTAATTTTTAATTCCATTTTATAGTTCCCTCATACACTTCAGACATGAATATGAAATGTGAAGCGGAAAAAATATTGCTACACTCAATGTGGTTAAACATTTTATCATGAGCAGCTTCTTCTTGGTATGCATACATATAGTGAGATGCAATCCCTCCACCTGCATCCACGTTCACGCCCCCTATGCAACGTGAGCAACAAATCAGAAGTGTGGAGCCTTTGGTTACGACAGAAAGAGAGAGAGATTTTGTGGCAGCACTCTGACGTATTCAATTATGCGGCGACTGTTCATCACCAGATGGCGTGGCAAGCTGGTATTTGTCGCCAAGTTACCGCCGTCTGGCAATATGTGTCCTTAAAAATTTAAACCTATGGTATCTGTTTGTGCTCACGATTTGACACCAAAAACAAATATCTCTTCCGCTGTGTGGTGGAAAAAAGAACGTCTATGCGTAAATAGAGATGACCTCTCCAAGCTACGGCGGCACATTTACAGCTCACTACATGGAGTGAAATTAAGGAATTTATGGCTACAATACAATGCGATAAATTCTTTAAATTTTAAGTCAAATACTAATTGCGCTATTTAAATCACTTTGAAAATAATAGCTGAATAACGTAAAATGTGCTCCCTCAGTCACGTAGTAAAATAACAAGGTACAACAAAATTTTAAGGATTTTGATCTCGAAAACAGGACTGATCTCATCTTATAGATTTTTTGATGCTGATTTAAAATCCGTTTACACAATTTTTATAGCACGTCTAGTTTTTTAAGAAAAAACTATTGAAGTGGCATTTATACAATCAAAAATTTCTACTTTCAACGATTTTTTCACTTATCGACATATGTGATATTCATCAGACGAATTTTACTTACATTAATACGCGGTTTTTTTTTAATTTTTTTTTTCAGTTCAACAGTTTTTTTCTTAAAAACTATACGTGGCAGAAAATTTTTATAAATGGGATTGCAATCATCCTCACACAATTTGTGTTTAACGGGCGGACAAATTTTAAAGCATACTTGAGAAAACGGCTCTAAATTTGAGTGAACCCTAAAAAAAATACACAAATGGAAATGTATTAAAAACAAAATTAAAAAAAATACAAATAATAAAACAAGAAACATAAAACAACTAAAAGGATGAACTGAAAAAAATAATAATTTTAAAGAAATTTAAAAATTAATATCAAAATAAAAATAATTTAAAAGAAATTAATCTAAAAAGAAAATAAAATTAACATAAAAAAAAATTTTAATTTGCGGATGCGGAGTGTCGAAAGAAAAACGGTTCATATTTTAAGTATGTACATATCGATGGTCCTGTGCAACACAACGACACAATTCAAAATTCAAAAAATAAAGACTGTTACTACTGTTAAGTGGCTCTTGTCGCTAATCCTTGTCTAATCCATTTCCATCCCTTACCAAAGTACCTAAGCAGTAAGGATTGCTAAAGTAAGTACAAAAGATAAGATTCGACAAGGATTAGAGACATGAGCCACTTAACAGTAGTAGCAGTTTTTATTTTTTGAATTTTGAATTGTGTCGTTGTGTTGCACAGGACCATCGATATATTGAAAAATTTTTATAAGGGTTGCCATCTAACAAATTATAGTTAAATACATAGCTTAAGAAGGCGAAATATTACATTGTGGGTACTCAGCGAAACGTTTTGATTAACAGTTGTTAATACAAATTAATTTTAATAGGGTAGCCACCTAAACAAATGCTACGCTAAAATTTTCAGTATCGAATGTTTGGCGTTTTTTTTTGTGCTTTCTATCGATTTTTTTTTTCTTAAAACAAGAACTAAAACTTATTTCTATGAAATACATAACTCTTATTGGCAAACCTAAAACATACTATACCACTACAAAAATTAAAGCAAATATGTATTTCTGAGTGACAAAACGAGTACTGACTGCAACCGAAAACAATTTACGGGAAGCTAATAAAACAACAAAGAAAGCATTTAACACTAACTTGCGATACACATTTCTGTTTTTTTTTTTTTTTTTACCTGCACTATGCTTATACACATTTAAACTTCGAGCGCTTCAAGGTTGCGAAATACAGAAAATACCGATTTTCATATATAAAAATTTTGGCACATTTTGCACATGGAACAGCGGCTGCTTGAGATGTTGGATTGGTGCCGAGTTGTTGGAAGATTAATGAAGCCGGTAAAGTTGTGGGATGTGCGTTAGTGGGAGTGTTGGTTGGTTGGTTGGTTGGTGGGTAAGTGTTATACGCATTATGCTTGAATTAGCCGAGCGAATTCGTGTATGATTCATGGTATGAACTGTAGGTTAATTAAGGACATTTTATTTAGTTTTGTATTTTTTTTTTTTAATTTTTTTTAGCTCTCCTTCTTTGCTTCACAACCACTGTTTAGCAAAACAGCATTGACCACCAGGCGCAACCACATAACCATCTGCAAGGCATTTATATGGGAGGAGACAAAAAAAATGGGGAAAAAAAGAGAGAGAAAAAAGAAGACAATTTGCAGGTGATAACCAATTTGGTGTGTACTCGTACTGGTTAAATATTCAATTTGGTTTTAATTGCAATGTAATTGATGCCAACAACCGCACAAATACATATGCACATATATTACAGGTACATACATAAATATTGTACATATGTAGATACATGTATTTATGTATATATATAAGCAACGAAATTGCAAAATCAAACATATAAGGAACAAAATGTAAGTAAAAAAAAACTGGACTTTCTTGCAAAGTTTCGAAATAAGAACTTTACATTGCCAGCTTTAAGCATTAAAGCGCAAAAACATATGCACCTAACAATAAAATGGTAAACAAATGAATTGAAGCGCAATTGATTAGTGACGATTTTTTTTCATGAAAAACATAAAAACTATTTTTAGTAAAACGAGAACTAACACTAACTAACAAAAAGACGCTATACTTATTTGCACATTGCACAATTATTGGTAGTTTATGAAAAAATAAAATTATTTGAGCGTGGTCATCAGCACTCCGCATTGAAGAAAAATAAAATGATCCAGAACTAAAAAAGAAATAAATATGAAAAATTTATATTGTTATCGGTACTGATTTGATTTAATGGCTTACATCCACAACAAAAAAAAAAAAATAAATTTTGTGTTGAAAAATTTAGTTCAAAAAGAAGCTTGCTTAATTTGCTTTGTGGTAGTGTACATAAGTAATTTTTGATTGCTTTACTTCGAAGAATAGGTTAATGAACCTTCTGAGAATCGATTTTTAGTTGTAATTCGAAACATGAATCTACCTAACCAAAAAGGTAATGAAAACATGATATTTTGTCTCCACGAAATTAATAATGAATTTAATTAATTTTCTCAAGTACCATCCCATGACAGGTTTTCTTTTATCTAAAAGGTAAAGGAAATTTTACGCGATTCTAGTAAAAAGAAAAGGAACAAAGTAGTTAATTTCGTGGTAGCTTGGTATTCATCGCGGGAATGATTAGCTTTGGAGTAAGTCATGCACAAGCGATATCAGCAACATTTTTAATTCCTAATTTTTACAACTAATCCGGCTAGTTTGTCTTTGGATCATGTGCTGCCGGCGAGTAATTTATATGCTCAGAAAATGTGGAAATGTGTAGCTCTCAACTATTGGGCTATAAAAAGATGGAAGTGGTATGCCCCTCCTTTCATTTACGTTTTAAAATTCTATTCTATTTTTGAACAAAGCTCACCAGTAGAACTGAGGGATAACATTGTTGAGATCTTATTGTTCGTATTTCCAGCAAAAAATAAGTGTAGCGAGAGTGACAAAGAATAAAGAAATTAAAGAGATGAACGCGGAAAAAATTCCAACGTAAAACGTATAAATACAAAAAAAAAGAACGATAAATTACAATAAACGATAATTTATTAAAAAAAAAAAAACTGTAATAATAATAAAAAAAATTGTTCAATTAAAAAAAAAAAACAAATAAAAATTAAACGGTGAACTATTTCATGTGTGTTTTTGTGCTACATTGGCAAACTAATTGCGCCACTAAATTTACTTAAATTGTATTATTATTTATTTATTTTTTTCTTATGCATACATGTCATTTTGAAAGTAAACCTGTTTGGTTACATGGTAAAATTTAATGCAACAGACAAAATTTGTGTCATTTTTTTGTGTCTAAATAAATAATGACGTTATCCTTTTTTAATCAAGAGATACTGGGACATATTGATTGATAGTCGAAACAAACAAAATAAATTCTAAAGTTAGTTGCCGTTTTCTGACAGATATTTCCTTGAAAATTATGTTTAAAAGCTGCAACTAACTTCGCTGTAGAGTTTTGTGATCTAAAGGTCCATGACCCCTGTGTTGTTTTTGAACGTTGAACGCTATTTAATATTGTTTTTTGTTTTCTTACCTTCATGAATTCACGCTTGTTAATATGTATTATGAACTTATTTTACTACTATAATATGAGTATGTATACATACAAATCAAAAGTGCGTAAAATGTATGAATTATATATTTTTAAATAGTTTTTTTTTTCTGAAATTACACGATTATTTATGTATATCGTTATTGCATGCTTTTTCAATTTTATTGTTGAACCTTATTTATTTTTTTCGCATATTTTGCCATATGTATGTTGGTGAGTGTGACGGCGTA